CAGCTTCTCTACTGATTTTACTGAATGTACAGATTGAATAGGCATGGAGAAAGGATACGGTTCTGATGCACACCTTTCACTATTCCAAACCATGCAATGTTCTTGTTCTGTTCAGACAGCAGCTTCTTGGTCTAAGTATAGGAATCCTAAGAGCACAATTCTGGGATGTCTGTTTAAGGCCCCATTGCATCTGGGATATCTGCTTCAAAGCTCAAACCTGGAGGGCTGGGACACAGTGATCTACCTAATTATTTCTGGTATGTGTGTTTCAAGGCTGTGTTACTTCTGGGATATCCACTTCAGAACCTGATTGCTTCTGAAATGTCTGTTTCAAGACTGTCCTGCTTCAAGAAGCACCATAAGAAAAACAGCCAATGGTAATGAAGGAAGAAGTTCAAGCTATACTGATGGTACTGGTAAAAAATAAGGCCCCAGGAATCAGTGAGATACCAATTGAGATGTTTCAGCTAACAGAGGCAGCCCTTGACATGCTCACCAGTGTATATACCAGGAAATTTGGAGGACAGCTGCCTGGCTAACTGACAGGAAGAGATCCATATTTGTTCCCACTTCCAAGAAACATGTTCCAATAGAATATGGAAATTATCAAACAATATCATATGCAAGCAAAAATTACTGAAGATCACCCTAAACTGGTTAAATACGAAGGAAAAAATAGATCATTTGCAGAAAAGCAGGAACTTAAGGAATTAATGAAAACAAGACCAAATCTATAAGAAATGCTAAGGGAAATCCTTCACACAGAGACAGCAAATGAAAGTGGATAGGTCAAAGTAACCAGCAACAACAGAAAAAGGAATGCAGAAAAATGGCAACAATAAAACCTGGTCTGTTAAACACTCCTAGAAAAGCACATTGAGAGAGAATTTCTAGAAGTTCAAGATGGATTTAAAAGAGGCTGTCACACCAGGGATAACATTGCTGATATCAGATGGATCTTGGCTGAAAGCAGAGAATACCAGAAGGATTTCTATTTATGTTTAATTGACTATGCAAAGGCATATTTGACTGTGTGGACTGTAACAAACTAGGGCTAACATTGAGAATAATTGCAATTCCTGGACATTTAATTATGCTCATATGAAACGTATACCAAGATCAAGAAGCTGTTGTCTGAACAGAGTAAGTAAACACTGCATGCTTTAAAATTACGAAAGGTGTGTTGTCTGGGTTGTAACCTTTCTCCGTAGCTATTCAATCTGTACACGAGCAAATCATTCAAGAATCTGGACTCTGTGAACAAGAATGTGGCATCAAATTTGAAGGAAGACTGCAACCTCCAACAACCTGTGTTATACAGATGACATGCTTTGCTTGCTGAAAGTCAGAAGGCCTTGAAATGCTGCAGAAAATCAAAGGCTACAGCCTTCAATATGGATTTCATCTCAGAATCAAGAAGACAAAATTCCTCATCACTGAACCACAAAGCAACATCATGATAAACAGAAAAGATTGAAATTGTCAGTAGTTGGATCAACAGTCAACACCCTTGGTACCAGCAGTCAGGAGATCAATAGCAGTATTGTAACTGACAAATCCACTGTCAGGGACTTCTCTAAAAAAGTGAGATGCATTGATGCTAGTTTGAAGCCTAAGGTACGTCTGATTCAGAGCATCATCTTTTCAGGCACTTGCTATGCCTCCAAGAGATGGATGATGAATAAGGATGACAGGAAAAGATTTGACACCTTTGTATCCTGATGTTGGAGGAGAATACTCAATATCCCATCGACTTCCAAATGAACAAACAGATATGTCTTCGGAAAAGTGCAGCCAGAATGCTTCTTGGAAGCTTCATCTCACGTATTTTGCTAGGAGTAGATATTCTTGGAAACTAACATCATGTTTGGAAAGAGGGAGGGTCAGACAAGGAAAGGAAGACCCTCAACAAGATGGGTTGACATAGTGACAGTAGCAATGAAGGTGTCAGAGATGGTGCGGATGGCACTGGATACGAGAGGGTTCTGATCTTTTATTTTAGAGAGTTGCTGTGAGTGGTACTCTACTGGATGTCACCTAACAACAACAACAACATGAGCATAATTACATGTTCTGGAATTCCAATTCTTCTCAGTGTTGGCCATAATTTGTTTTGATCCACAGAGACAAATGCTTTTGCATAGTCAATAAAATACAAATAGACATCTCTCTGGTATTCTCTACTTTCAGCCAAGATCCATTTGATTTCAGCAGTGATATCCTTGGTGTCATGGCCTCTTCTAAATCCAGCATGAACTGCTCTAGCTATTTTTGGATACTCTTCAACAATATTTTGTTTGCATATGGTATTGTTCAAGAATTTCCACATTCCTGGGAATGAGAAAAAAATATGGATCTTCCAATCATTTGGTGAAATAGTTCTCTTCCAATCTTCCTGGCATAGACTGGTGAATACATCCAAGATTGCGTCTGTTAGTTGAAACATGTCACTTGGTATCCCATCAATTCCTGGGGCTTTATATTTTGCCAATGCCTTCAATACAACTTCAACTTCTTCTGCCACTACCAATGGCTCTTGATTATATGTTACCTTCTTGAAATGGTTCCTTGTCAGCAATTATTTTTGATACAGTGACTGTGTATGCCCCCTGTTTTTTGTTGTTTGTGGGGTTTTGTTTGCTTTGTTTTTGATGCTTGTTGGATAATTCAGTATTTTGCCCATAGCGTCTCTCAAGGCTTGGTTTGTTTTTCAAAGTTTTCATATTGACAAATACTGAGTGAGTTCTTCTATTTGTTTATTCTCCAATTCCAGCTCTTTGCACATTCCGTTATAATAATTTGCTTTATCTTTTCAAACTATCCCTAGAAATCTTCTGTTTATCTTTTACTTCAGCATCTCTTCCCTTTGTTTTGACTTCTCAACACTCTAGTGCAATTTTCAGTGTTTTCTGATGTGTATTTTAATCTTTTATTTCTTCCTTGACTTTGTAGTGGCCTTTTGTTTTCTCCATAGATGATATTCTTGATGTCCTCTGACAACTCATCTGATCTTCAGTCATAAGTGTTCAGTGCCTAAAACTCATTATTCAGATGGTTTTTAAATTTAGGTGGGCTATTTAAATTCAGGTAGGTTGTATTTTTGTTCTTGTGGACTTACTCTGATTTCAGTTTGAACTTGCACATGAGTAATTCATTGATGGTCTGTTCCACAGTCAGCACCTCAGGATAGTGAGAGAAAAGGTTAAAATTTTCAATGACTTCATCTTACTTGGACCCACAGTCAACACTATTGGTTCCAGCAGTCAAAAAATCAAAGGATGTGTTGCATTGAGAAAGTCTGCTCTCAGGGGCCTCTCCAAAGTACTGAGGAGCAATGATACCAGCTGAAAGACTAAAGTGTGCCCGATTCAAGTAATGAATGGTCTTTTTAATCACTTGCTATGCATCTGAGAGTTGGACAATGACTGTGGATGATGACCGATGAAGAATTGATGCCTTTGAGTTGTGGTGTTAAAAAAGGTTACTGAATGCCTCTTGAATTGCCAAAAGGACAAGCAGATATGTTTTGGAGAAGTGCAATCAGAATGCTCCTTAGGGGCAAGGATGACAAAGCTTTCTTTGTCTCACATCCTTCAAGCATGTTGTTATCCATTCCTCAGAAAGGGATATTATGCTTGTGAAGGTGGAGGATCACGCAAACAAAGACCTTAACCATGATAGATTGATATAGTTACTGCAGCAATGGGCTCAAGTATGTCAGAGACGATGAGGATGATACTGGCTAGGATGAGGCTCAGATCCATCCTTCATAGGGTCATTATGAGTCACAGTCAACTGGATAGCACCTAACAATAACAACTCTATGCGTAGCAAAGCATTTCAACATTTTACAGTGACATTCATTATTTTCATCCATTGGCTTTATCTACTTGCAAGTTTTTCCATCACCACCAGGCCTTTTTAGGAAATTTTAATTATATGATCCTGTAATGGTGGATTCCTAACAGCCTAAGAGGCTCTTTTGTGCCTTGTACAGCTGGGCAGAAGGCTAGGAGGAAAATTGTCTTTTATCTTCCTCCCCCAGAACTAAGATTATAGTTTTGTTACATTTAAGATTGAATGGACTGTATTCTAAAACCAAGCCAGAATTAAACATTCTTACCGAAAATAAACTGCCCTTTCTCCTTTCTGAGGTCAAACCCTTACTCATTCTGTATTAATTTGGAAGGCTCATCATTTATGCTGTTTCCTGGCTGAACACTGCAGAGGAGACAATAGCAGTTCCTATCTTCTCCTTTCCCTTTCTAAACCTACTGGTATTTCACTTCCTCAACCTATTTTCTAACCAGGCCTCCACCAGAACACCACCAAAACATTACAAGTGAGACCTCTTTAAGGACTGTTTTGCCTGAAAAGGACGAATGGCCGGGTTTAGGGGACAGATACATTCCCTAGATTTGCGCCTGGGGGCCATGACACTGGAATTACAAATCAGGGCTCACCCTGTATAGGATTCACGCGCTCTCTTCAGTTTGCACTGGGGAATCGGTGGCAAAGGAGCCAGCTCACAGATGTACAAGCAGTCTACAAACGCTCAGGAGCAGAAACTGCCTTGTGTAGGTTTGATCTGGGGTCAAAGGACAAGCTGCATTAATAAAGTAAAAGGTAAAAGGAGTTCTTGGAGGTCTCTCCCACCTCTTTGCTGAGACACCTCGGGTTCACTCTAAAGTAATTCTTTAAATAATGATAAGCAAGCGTTAAGTGTCTGCACTTGGAAAGGCGCTCTTTGCTTTGCGGCTTGAAATGCAGAGGCAGGGAATAGGCCTTTAGGTTTTGCCTTTTGAAGATACAGAGGGCCACGATTCGGGAAGGCTCCTCCTCCCAGGATGTCGGAGGGGCTGCGTGCTGCCCTGCGCCTGGCTCTGGCGCGGGGCCCCCGACTGTGGCACCTCGCGCGGCGCAGCCAGCATTCGCATTCGGCTGCGCGCAGCGTGCCTCCTCCGCCGCTCCCTGCAGCCCCGCGCTCCGCGAGCCGCTCCATGGCCAGCCTTCCCGACGCCGCCGCGGTCCTCGCCCGCCAGGTACCCCGACCGTGGGTGTTTGTGGGAGGGAGAGGGTTGGAACCCGCTTTTCAAAGCCTCCGTCCGAGCCGGACTGTTTGCCCAGCTGGAGCTTGCTGCACTATCCTTTTCCCCCTCTCACCGCCATTCTGCCTCCAGCCCATCTCCTCTAACCTCTACCCTGCCCTAAATCCAGAGTCCCAGCCAGCGAGCACACTTGCGGAGTGACACTCATTCAGGGAGACCCGAGGGTCGCCATGGAAGCGGCTTTAGGGGAGAAGGAGAGAGCGGGAATCACCGGGCTTCCAAACTGAGAGCCTCATCCATTCATTGTACCTTCGCCATACCACAAAATATTTGACTTCAGTCCTCTGCTCCTTGGTTCCCTTTCCCCTCTTCCTCTAATAGTTATTTAGCCTAATTAGATTTTCCTTTTTTTAAAATCTTTTTTCTTTCTTTTTTTAAAAAATTTTTAAATGTCTGCGCTGTTCCCCAGTTCGCCCCCTTCCATTGTGTCATTTGCTATTAGATTGCTCCTTAGTCCCTCAGGTTATGACCTTGAAATGTGGGATTGGATGGCGAGGCGCCTGCATCAGAGGACCCAGCCTGTGGAGAAAATGGTTCACACTCGTCCCCATTCTTTTTTCCAAGCTCGCTATTGTGCGCCGGTGATTGACAAGACCACGAGGCAGAGCGCGCCTAGGAGATTTTTCTATAAATGGCTTAAAACCTTAGTCTAGGCTATTTACTCGGATATGAGTGAGACAATTGTCTTTTTGTTCCTTACTGGTGAACCCTGCCTCCGTAGGTCTAACCTGGATATCTAACCGCGTTAAGTCCAGAGAGGAGGACAAAAAGCCACCTCCTCAGACTAGATAGAAAGTGCAGGAGAGCGCTCTCCCGGCTGGGGTGGCACTTGTGCTTGGTTGAGTATCTGAGCCTCCTGAGTCTCCTTTTCCTGTTTCAGTGCTGGAGCGGAGCACAAGGTGAAATGGTGAGTCATAGGATCACCCCAAACCCATTTTTTTTCTCGCTTAGTTTTACTTAATGGAGGTTTGTTTCTTTTTTAAGGATTGCAATCACGGATGTTCCGCGGAATGTAACACAGAAGGAGGATCAAAAAGGGTGATGGAGACTTTTCAGGTAAATTCATGGCCAGAGCTTAAATGTCTAAAACACACTGAACTGAATGGATCCATTTGTTGTTGAGATTTGGGGGGAGAATTTTTACTGTGTGGACTATACAGTTGTTTAAAAACGCATTTTAAATCCCTCTTGTATGAGCAGAGGGGCTGATGGGTGTGTGAATTATTTGGAGAAAGGAAAAGTACTTATCAAATCTAAATTGACTTGGTCGTTTAATGCTTATTTTACTTCCTGAATTGTGTGTTTTTTCTTGAAGATAATCAGATTGTGAAAATTAAGCAGGATTTTTATGTTTGTAATAGTATAACCTTGTATTTGTTGATTTTTATATTTAAATAGTACATAACCTTTTACATTAAAAATATTCCTTTCCTTCTCTTTGAATCATTATTACTGCTGTCTCTCCCTGCATGAGCGTCTTTATGCCTCTCCTTCCACCCCCTCCTGCGTGGTTTCTGTCACTCGTCTTTTGTCATCCGTCATCCCATAGCATAGAGTGTCCTAATGATCTCACATACTGGCAGGGTTCAGAGAGACGTAAAACTTGACTCATCAATTTCACACACATGTAGCAGATGCTGTGCTTGCCATTGGGAATAATTTTAAGATAAGGTATCTGCTAAGGAAATCTTTATAAAACCAAAATATAATCTTCTTGTTAGGTGCCATTGAGTCGGAACCAACTCACAGCTTACTCTCCAGCAGATTTTCAGAGAGAGGCTGTGGATCACATGGGAGGAGATTGCCCATCTTTCAGAGCTACTGGTGGATTCACACCACTTGGCGGCCCAGTTCCTTATTCACTAGTCTGCCAGAGCTCCCTTAGAATATAAAAACATATTATATTTTGGAAAGGAATGTCTATTCTTTCACTAAAGTGAATTTGTGAATTTTATTTGTCAGTGTCATTCTCTGGCTTTTAGGGGTAATATCCTTATAACCTTATCTATTCTGCTATTCTATGAAAATAAGCTCATCAGAAATTTTGGTGATTAAGATACTGAAATATAAGTCCTTGAAAGAATTCAGAAAGGATTTGTGCCTGAGATGCTACTAACTGACTACTTGCTAAACAATTGTTGTTTGAATCTACTTGGAAGCTAGGCATGGTGATCTGATTCTGAGAAGTCAAAGCTTTGAAAAACCCCATGGAGCAGTGTTATTCTGGGTGACAAAATAATCAACTCAATGGCAATTGGCAATAAATGAAAAACTAAATTTAAACAATAAATTCATTAAAGACTGGAGATCAGTTTTCTTCCCTGATTAACCATCCCAACACCTGCAAGAAGGACTTCTACACACAGAAAAAGACTTAATAATATATAACACCTCTTTGTTAATTTAGATTTCTGTGTATTCAGTTTTAGTTCAAGGAAGGCAGTTGATAATGGTGGGTGCATTCATAGTGCTCATGAAATGAGTCAAGGTCCCTTGGTGGTTGAAATGGTTTGCAGAAAGGTAGGGGAGTCCTGGTGTCCATAGATAGCTGAAGTGCTAACCCAAAACCCAGCTTCTCTACCCATTCAAGTGCACCAACACCTCCTCTGGATAAAAATGGACCGTTTTCCTTTCAGATGATCTGTAGTTTCAGAAACTAACTCAAGAGCACCAGCCAAGTAGTACTAGAAGAATAACTTGGTGCTGTGCTTCCGTTACGGTTACACCCAGGAAGAATGAAGTCCTAAGGGAGAGTTCCTTCTGTAATACAGGGGCCATCATCAGTTGGAATGACTTGATATTGAGATTTATGTTGTTTTTTATGTAATGAAGAAAATGAAAATTGAAATGCATAATTTGGAGAAGAGAAATTAAAGAGTTTTTGGTGGTGGGTTTTTTTGTTGTTGTTGGGTTTTGGTTTTTTTTTTGGTGTTTTTTTTTTTGACCACCATTTCCCATCTCTTTATTAATCAGTTGTTGTGTGTCATTGAGTTGGAACCAGTCCATAGCTGACCTTCCAGCAGGTTTTTGGAAGCTGTAAATCTCATGGGAGGAAATTGCCCATGTACTTAAAAACTCTGTATTACATTCTGAGTACTATTCATGTTGAACCTTCCTCCCACAAACCTTCCTGTCCTACTTCCACTTCTCTACCCTTTAACCTCAAACCCCACCCTTGTTTTTGATAAGTCTGCTCTGCAGGGATCACCCCTGTGATCTTACTAAATGTGAGGAACCAATTTCCTAATATGGCTCAGCAATGAAATATCGTTTTCTATCAGAACAAGGAGATACATGGTTTAGAATCAGGAAAGGTGTTAGTCAGGGTTGTGTCCTTCCACCATACTTATTCAGACTGTATGTTGAGCAGATAATCTGAGAAACTATACGACATGGAGGAAAATGTGACATCAAGATTAGAAGAAAATTCTGAACTTGCTGTCTAATGATGAAGAGGATTAAGACCTTAATGAAGAAAACAAAAGACTAGCTTTCTGTATATAATATAGCTCAGAAAACAAAAATCCCAATATGCAACATCTTGATAGGTGGTGAAGAGACTGAAGTTATCAGTGATCCTGTTTTACTTGCACTCATAATCAACACTCATGGAAGCAGCATTCAAGAAATAAAATAATTTTAAAACAGTATTGATTTGGATGAATCCATTTCTAAGGATCTCTTTAAATGGCTAAAGATCCAGGTTGGCACTTTAAAAGCTAACATAATAATTTTTAGGACCAGAGAAGATTATAAGGATGGCACCGGTCATATATGGAGTCACTTTGAGTTGGAAACAACCCTGTGGCCCCTAACAATGAGAATAAATCCTTTTGTGGACTTGATCAGCTGTCCATTTTCCCCCCAATGGTCTTTTTACCTACAACGTATTCTCAGTTTTCCACTAAATTGCATGTCACCAATCTAAGGAAATCATTCTTAATTTGTTTTTGAAAGAATGCCTTTAAAAGCAATGCTCTCGGGCTACTAGCATGACTTGGATCCAGTACACCTTCTTCAAACTGACATTCTTGCTCTTTACCACTTTAATTAATTTAGCACTTAATTGGTAGCTGCCTACTATAAAAATTCCTAGGGAAATAAGGAAGATAGGATACAGTCTTTGTTGTACTGCACCAGGATTCATAGAGAACTAGAATGTGGGTCAGTACATGTCGTCACTGATCCTGTAACTGGTTGCACTGACGCCACCCCTTTCTCCTGTCAGCTGAGGTACTTCGGAATAGTCTTTTAAAATATCAGTACCTGAAGCTCAGTGTCTCATTCCATTTTACTTCTTTTAAGTATTTCAGCTATATTCGGCTTTCCTGGGTATTTCTTGAACAATGGTAAACATGTTCCTATCTGTAGAAAACTTTGTGCCTATATATTTCTGGTGTCCCTGGGTAGCGTAAATGGTTAAGCTCTCCCATCCAGAGGTGCCTCAGAAGAAGGACTTGGCAGTCTTTGTCCAAAGAATCATAGCCATGGAGCTCAGTTTTATTCTGCAACTAAAGGGATTCCCAGGGACTTGAAGTGGTTTGAAAGCAACCATTTTAGTTATCCAAGTGGCCTGTTTTCTCTCTTGATTCAAATTCCTGCTTAGATGTCATTTTCCCCAACACTTAAATCTAAACCACTCCAGACTCTTAAACGATGTTTAATTTTCTCCCTAGCACTAATAACTTCTTTATATTGCCTCCCTCACTCCAGTGCAGGTGTTTAATAATTTAGTTTCATGGCATTTCTCATGATTTATACCATACAGGAACATTGTTGTTATGTTGTTAGAAACTCAAAAAATATTAGGTTGATGTAAAGCAATTGAAACTGCTATGGCTAGGGTTAGGCACACCTTCGTCTTTAAACTGACATCTTTGCTCATTGGCACTTTAAAAGACAAAATAGTAATAACAAAACAGGGAAGAAGAGCAAGGGAAAAGAAAAATAAAGTTATGTGAAAGCGAAACTCTGCCCAGTATGTTTTGCATAAATTATAGCCCATTGACGCCAAATTGATTCTGACTCATAGTGACTCAACAGGACAGAGTAGTAGAATGGCTCCCATGGGTTTCCAAGGTAATTTGATAACAGTAAATTTTATCTTTATGGTGAAGTCCTGATGACATAGTAGTTAAAATATGGAGCTGTAAAGCAAATGATCTCATCCTATTGCAGGAGGAAGAGGTGGCAGTGCGCTTCTATAAAGATCACAACCTTGGATAGCTAGAAATGAGAATGCGCTTGATGGTGTACAGAAGCACATTATCTGCCACCTCTTCTGCAAAACAGCAAGTGACTTCAGACTACCAGCTGGTTCACTCAGCAGCAAAGTGTTTCACCATTGTCCCACTAGGGCTCCATCACATAAATGAAAAAATATGCACATTAATCAAAAGAATGAGTTTACTGTTGTTTTATGCAGGTTGGGTTGTCATTGATGTTGTTAAGGGTCCTCAAGTTGATCATGACCCAAAGCAACTCTGTGAACAATAGATCTGAAGGTTACCCTATCCTGCATCATGCTCTGGATCTCTGTCATGCTCAAGTCCATTGTACTCATTGTGTTAGTCCATCTCACTGAGAAGTTTCTTCTCTTTGTCATGGAAAAAGAATTGTATAACGGGAGAAAGTCTGCATCAGGTTTTTCTTCCTATGTTGATCTGAACCCATATCTGTGCCAAGATCTCCCTGTTCCCCAGCCTGTAGAAAAGTTGACTAAAGCACAATCACAAATGCTATCTTGTACAACACTGTGTGTGAGAGACCATTCATAAAAAATCCAAATTTGTTAAAAAGCAAACCAACAAAAAACCAACCCAACTTTGTGTTAGAATTTCATTCATTTGAAATAAAATCCTTACCATCTGCTGTGGGCAACTCCACATTCATTAGGAGGTACATCTGAAATCAACCAACTGTTATTTTCACAATTTGAGGAAATCTTTCTTAGTATGTGTTCCAGGCACTATTCTAGGGTTGGAGATTTAATCACAAAGAATCCATTAAAGTCCTTGTCTAAAGAGTCTAGAGCAGAGCTCAGCGAACTTTCTTAAAGGGTAAAATAAGTCTGCGTATCATCTGGTCTCTCACCATCCACTATGATGCTATTGTGGATAAAAGAATGAATGAGCTTAGCTGTATTCTCATTCTTTTCAATGTTAGCCATAGTTTGTTGTGATCCACACTGTAAAATCTCTTTGCATAGTCAATGAAACACAGATATTATTCTTTTATTCTCTCCTTTCAGCCAGGATCTGTCTAGAATCAACAACAAATTTGTTTTTCAATTCTTTCTGATTGAGAAATGCCAAGATAATTCTTCCCCTTTTATTCTCTGAATCTAGCTCTTTGTACATTTCATTATAATACTTTGTCTTCTTGAGCTGCCCTTTGAAATCTTCTGTTCCGCTCTTTTACTCTGACATCTCTTCCCTTTGTTTTGGCTTCTCGACACTATGAAATTTTCATAGTATCCTCTGATAATAGGAATCCCAAAACATTTAATTGTGCTCATATGAAATCTAAGGCCAAGAAGCTATTGTCAAGATGCAACAAGGGAATACTGCATGGTTTAAAATTAAGAAAGTGTCAGAGTTGTGTCCTTTTCTATACCTATTCAGTCTGTATGCTGAGCAAATAATTTGTGGAGCCCAACCCTATGAATTAGAATTAGAGGAAGACTTATCAGCAACCTGTATTGTGCAGATCATGCAACCTTGCTTGCTGAAAGTGAGGACAGCCTTCAATATGAACTATATCTCAATATCAAGAAAACAAAGGCCATTACCACTGAGCAGATAAGCAACATTATGATATATGGAGAACAGATTGAAACTGCCAATGATTTCATCTTATTTGGATCCACAGTTAACACCCTCAGTACCAGCAGCCAAGGGATCAGTAGACTTACTGGCTTTAGGCAGGTCTGCTGTCAGTGACATCTCCAAAATACTAATGATGTTAGTTTGAAGAATAAGGTGTGCCTGATTCAGGCCCTGTTCTTTTCAGTCACTTGCTATGCATCTGATAGCTGGACAAGGAACAATAGAAGAAGAATTGTTGTCTTTGAGTTGTGGTATTGGAGAAGAATACGGAATATCATTCTTTTGGATTGCAAAAAAAAAGAGGCAGATTTATCGTGGGAAAAGTGCAGCCAGAGTGCTCCTTGGAGGCAGGAATGGCAATGCTTCATCTATCATATTTTGGGCATGTTGCCAGGAGAAGGCTCTTCCTTAGGAAGGAATAGGGGAGGACCTCTACTGAGATGGGTTGACATGATGACTATAGCAATGGGCTTAAGTATCTCAGAGATGGTGAGGATGGCACAGGATAGGACAGCACTCAGATATGAGTTGTCCTCAACAACAGTGTCTCTATTCCAATAACATTTTATTTATGAAACCGGTATCAGGCTGCATGGGCAAAATCTACCAGACTATGAGATGCTTTGATGGTTTGATATATAGCATCTCGTGCTCCTAACCAAAAGGTTGTGCTGTTCATTCAGTTCGAATCCACCAGCAGCTCCATGGGAGAAAGATGGGCAGATGGAGAGAGAAATAGAATTCAGGCATCCAAATAATTTAGCTAGGGAATTTCCCTTTAAATAAATTATTCTCTCATTTGATAAAGGATTTTGACATAAGAAAATACTTTTTTCAAAAGCTGGCATTTTACTGGCATACTTCAAAGTGACATATGACACTAAATGACATATGAGCACGAAACTCACAGTAATAAGTTGTCTTTACTGCTCTGGGCTCCCTGGTGATAGGAGCTTTCTGGTTGATTAATAAAAACACAACTTTCAGTCTGAATATTCTGAAAATAAAACTGATCTTCATTTAAGATATGTCAACTGATTGCAGCTGTGAGGCAATGAAGGTAATTACATCAGTTTTATATAATGATAAGAGCTAATGATGTAAATTCAAGCTCTGGGTTTGGTTTAGGGAAATGAGTATTTTGTGCATTGAAAGGAATGCAGTTTGACATTGCTTACATCCTGCTAATAGGCTACAATGGTTCTTGTGTAATAAATTTTGTTTTTTTCAACTCTTTAAAGCTCTTCTTGTGGATTTTATCAGCATTTTATGGCCAGTTTAGATTAGTGGCAGTCTGGTGTGTTTGTGTGTTGTTGATTCTTAGCAGTCTGCATTCAAAGAGGAAAACATTTGCTTAACTCTGCATTTCTTTAATGGTGTACCCTTAGGGTCATTTTTCTGTTTTGATAAAATACAGATAACTTTAAATTTTCCATTCTAGCAACTAATTTTTAATGTTCTTTTTTATTTTTAGTGATTTTTTCAGCAACATTATTCATATTCACAATATGATGGTTGTGCAACCATCAGCATATTTCCAAAATATTTTCATCACTCTAAAATAGAACTTCAGTACCCCTTACACAATACCTCATTGCCGTCTCCTTGCTTCAGGCCCTCATCTCCTACTTATACCCTTAGGGATTTAAAGGCTTAAAACAGAATCCTTTGGTTGTGGATTGGAGCAATAACCAATGATCAGAAAGGAATTTCTATCTTAATGGCATTTAGTTTTTCAGCTGGAGTCTGGGTGGAATTTATGTTCTTTTTTGCCTTGATTTACCCTGTCTGCCATTTTGCCTTGTTTTGAGATGCCATTCCATTTGAGTTCTGATATTCTTCTCCTCAGTAGTGTGCATTGCAGATTTCTTTTTTTTTTATTTTTTAAGTTTATTTTATTATTTTTGTGTGAGTGTACCGTCAAATCAGATCTGACTGGTACAGGAGGAGATTGTTCCTCCTTCCCCGGCAGAGCATCTGGTGGATTTGAACCATGCACCTCTGGGATTGTAGTTGCAGCTCCTTACCACTAGGCCACCAGAGCTCCCCTGCATTGCAGATTTCAAATAACACATTATGAGCATGATTACTGTGGTTCACACAGACATGTCAAATATTTGAATTTGTTGTCGACATTTAAAAGTCAAGTGTTTGTTATTTCATGGCCAGCAACTTACGTTACTTTTCTCTTCATCATCTACCTAATGGATGCTCCGTTCCAGTTCTTTAATGGTCCTGATTTTTTCTGTCCCTAGGCTAAAGATCTGATCATCACACCAGCCACCGCTTTAAAAGAAAAGCCAGACTCAAGTAATCTAGTTTTTGGAACTGTTTTCACGGATCACATGTTGACAGTGGAATGGTCGTTAGAGTTTGGCTGGGAGAAACCTCACATCAGACCTCTTGAAAACCTGTCACTACATCCAGGCTCATCAGCCTTCCACTATGCCATTGAAGTGAGTATGTGAGAATGTGGAAGCTAGTTTGTGGGAATTGTTGATAGTGCTCTACTTAAAAAGAGATTTGGGGGCCTAGTGGCAGGAAGCTGCACTGCAACCCCGAAAGGCATAGAGTTTGAGGCCATCAGCGGCCCCACAGGAGAAGGATGGGTAGTCTTGTCCCATGAGATTTACTGCCTCTGAAAGCCCACAGGAGTTTCAGCTATGGGTCAGTTCTGACTCTACGGCATACAGCAACGATGCTTAATATAGTTACATGTGCATACTGAGTTGCTTCCACATACTAAAATAGCTGTTAGACAGTGTGGACTTTATCATATTTACCCGAGTTATTGTTAGGTGCATTCAAGTTGATTTTGACTAATAGTGACCCAGCATGATAGGGTAGACCTGTCCCTGAGGTTTTCTTGGCTGCAATCTTTATAGAAACAGATCATCCCAAATCTCTTCTGTGGAGCTATCTGGGTAAATTTGAGCTGCCACCCCTCTCAGTTAGTGGCCAAGTGCTTAAGCATTTGTGGTACTGGAGCTCCTAAGAGGAAATCATAAATTATTATCATTTTTTCCTGTAGAAAACTAGATTGAGAATAAGTCTTAACTGGTTTTTCAGAAGTCATTCAGAGAAGATAACAATGAGTAGAAAATAAATAAATCAAAAGTTAATATTTTAGTAGCCACTGAGTATAATGTTCTGGTTAGATTTTAATGTGAAGTGCATGTTTTTATGACCAGCAATAACATGTAGTGGTGTGCATGTTAAGGAATATGTGATTAAATGTTCTCTTTCAGGCATAAGCTGTGATAATTCTAAGATACTAAGAGAAGAATTCTTCTCCTTGTTCTTCTTAGGGTACAGTTAGCCTGGGACACAATTCCTTGACTCTTATTTTATTTAACTACAATGTATTTTAATACATTGGATATCATTCTCAAAATATTAAAAATGCTGGAAATAAATAATAGCCTATTTATTAAGGGAATAAAACCTAGTAATCATAAATATTTATCATGGCCATAATAAAACAATAATTCCTGATGTTTATTTTATTGCGATTGTGTGCACTGTATTAGTTACCTTAAATGGATCATCTCATTTCATTTTCTTAATTTGGAAAGTATGTGGTAAGCATTCAGGCCTTAGTCTTAACTCTTCCTAGGCTGAATTTTTTTTTTTTAAATTTATTTTTAGCCCCTTAGGGAGCACTATTTGTTCCCTGGGTGGCAAATGGTAATTGCTCTACTCTAGTCTAAAGGTTGAAGGTTCACATTCATCCAGAGGTACATCAGAAGTTTGGCCTGCTGTTCTGCTTTCATAGGGCCAGATTTTGAAGCCCTGTCGTTTTACTCTGATACACTTGGGTTTATTATTAGTCAAAATCAACTTGATGGCTTTTAACAATGTGGAAATCTGTTTAGTCCTTTGTGCTTCAATGTCTTTATAAAATAGAAGTACCGTTAATATATGTGTTGTTGCCATTGTAAGGACAAAATAAGGTAACAAATTGAAGCCTGTAGAAATATGCCTGGTACATACTGAATTTTGCCAATTCCAGCTTTTAAGTGAAAATTAGAATTTTGAGAAATTTCATTTAATGTTATGAGCTTGACTGCTTTTTAACACTGAGTAGTTTTCTGGTATTAGTGATGATACTAATTGTTTGGGTTATTTTTTGTTTGGGTTTTTGGTTTGTTTTCAAAACAATGTATAAAAAAAGTTTTTAAGAGAATCGGGTTGAGTCCATGATCTAGTGGTTTCCAAATGACCACTACATGTCATTACAAATGTATAAATAGGCAAAATATCATTTCAAAATGATAGACTGGGATGCCTTTATCCTGGTTCGATACAGCTAGTCTGAACTAGACTGAAGTAGTCTGCACCGGATTTCTACTATTTATCTGTTTCAGTGAGAATGGGCTACAAGAGATACTCCTTGTAAGAACTGGAGAATAGTAGGGTGCCTACAACCATTTTATTGCACCCACATAATCTTCTCTCAGCTATTCAAACACTAATAGAAGTGCAACTTGTGACGGAATCTTTCAAATCTAATTAAAGTCCCTAACCCGTTGATTTAAAGTTAAATCAAAAGTCAGATTACCTTAAATAAATCCTTGTAAGGACTTTCTTGAACTCTGAATAAGAAATTCTAAATGACAGGTGCATCTGCAAATCTTTCCTTCCCTCTGTCGCTTTTTTCCTGACTTCCACCTTTGGACAAGCTTCACTTTAGGAGCTAGGACACAGCCTGTTTGTGATTTCCCTTTGCTGACTGCCTGCCCTATCTGGGCTTGGATTTCCTTAGTGGCTCTATAGTTGTATCAGTTTCTTCTGAAAAGTCTATTCATATTATCCTTGGCTGGTTCTGCTTCACTGGTTGAAGTCTGATAAGTTGGACCAGTCAATTTTAATGAACAATATGGAAACTTTAAGTAGTTTCAAATTGCAACTAATTTGCAGTGGGCTGGAGAATGGAACTGGCTAGGACAAGGTTCTGGTCTACAGATCATAGGGTTGCTATGAGTCATATTCCGCTCAAGAGCACCTAACAGCCACGGCAACCAGTTATCAAGTTTTGGTAAAAGAACAGGAAAAAGAACCACAATTGTCTAAAAAGGCTATGAAAAATTCCTTTCCCTTTTTTAACTACAATCTTTGTGACAGTGAGCTTTCTTGTATTTAAAAAAATAAAATGAGGGAGCTCTAATGAACTCAGTCCATAAGGAGTTGTGCTGTTAATTCAAAGGCTGCTTTAAGCCACACAACACTGCAAGACAATGAATGTAGAAGGAGATGGAGAATCCAGTTGTTTTCTATAAAAACCAAACACTAGAGATTTGCCATAATTTACAATATCACACTTTTTACTAATTATTTTTGGGACATGTAGTTATTTTTAAATTGAAATATGTTATTTATATTAACATACCATATTTTATTGTTAAATATTTTTAAATTTCTCACTTCTTATTTCTAGGATGATAAATATTGATAGATAGCATTATATCAACATAACTCTTTGGAGTCTTCAGTAGCAAGCATTTTGAGATTAAAAAGTTTAGAAACGCAATTTAAAGGCATGGTATTAGGAGTGTTACTGCCTGCCATAAGATAACATCTTCAATTTTACAAGATTGGAGCAATTATTTTTCATAGTGATATTATTACCAATTTCTATACTTAACCGCCAAAGAGTAGTGTTTCTATTGCTTCCTAATCTTACCAACTCTGAACAAGGTTGTTCAGTTTCAACTTATATTGGTAATATATAGTGTATTACATTGTATATTGGTAATGCTGTTTTGTGATCCTTTGAGCACTTTAACATGTTTATTTACCATTGGCTTCCTTATTCAAGATGCCTTGTGCTTGCTTACTTTCCTATTAGGTTATAAATATTTTTTATTTGTAGAACTACTTTATGTGTTTTGTAATGAGATTTTCTCCAGTTATATGTGTTTTAAACTTCTGATGTCATCTGCCTTTTTTCTTTATCATTTTTTTTATGACAAGTATCCACTTAAATTTAAAATACCCAAGTTTGCAAATCTTTGTTCCTCTTTTTGTTTGTTACTTAACTCTGACAACATCTTTTTATGCTTGGTACTACTTATTCTGTCTTGTTTCAAATCTGTTTTATCCAGATCTTAGTAGTACAGATATCCTCCTGTGTTAACATTTAGCCTTTCATTGTTTGGTTGTTAAAAACAGAAGCTGGTTGTTCTTAATGTATAAAGTATGGGTCTACGGTAATTTTCCTCTTGAATATGAAATCATCCCAGCACACTTGTTGAAAAAGAATGTTTTCTGTTTGAGGGAGCATGTAATCTCTATCTGCTTGTTAATAAGGATTTGTCTCATTGTTTTGCTCTCTGTATCTTTTAAAAGTTTATGAATGAATGTTTTATTTTCTCAAATAGGTTTACTACAGTTAATGAGGTGACATTATACCTCACCTGCATCTAGGTGTTAAGGAGTTGGAGTCAGAAAATCAAAAGGGCTGAACTCGCTCAGCATTTCTTAAGCTCAAGGAACTGAAGAACAAATTCAAACCTCGAGTTGATATAATCAAGGATGCTTTCGGCAGAATATTAAATGATCCAGGAAGTATTAAAAGAAGATGGAAAGACTCTACTGAGTCACTGTATTGAAAGGAATTGGCAGACACAGAAGAATTTCATGAAACATATGAGCAAGAGCCTATGGTGCTGAAGAAGTTCAAGCTGCTTTGAAGGAAATGGCAAAAAATAAGGCCCCAGGAATAGATGGTATACCAATTGACGTATTTCAGCTAAGAGATGCTGCCCTGGATGTGCTCACCAAGTTGTGCCAAGAAATCTGGAGAACAACCACTTGGAAGAGATCTGTATTTGTTCCCATCCCAAAGAAGGGTAACCCAACAGAGTGTGGAAACTATAGAACAATCTCATAGATTTCACATGCACTCAAGAGTCTACTGAAGATTATCAAAAAACGACTGGAACAGCACATCAGCAGAGAACTGCCAGAAGTCCAGGCTGGGTTTAGAAGGGGTCGTGGTACTAGGGATATTGTTGCTGATGTTAGATGGATCTTAGCTGAAAGCAGGGAATACCAGAGGAATGTCTATCTGTGTTTCATTGATTATGCAAAGGCCTTTGACTGTGTGGATCATAACAAACTGTGGCTGACTCTGAGAAGAATGGGAATCCCAGAACACTTGACCGTGCTAATGTGAAGCCTATACTTGGACCAGGAGGCTGTCGTCAGAACAGAGCAAGGGAACACTGCATGGTTCAAAGTTGAGAAGGGTGGTATGACAGGGATGTGTCCTATCTCCACACCTTTTCAACCTATATGTAGGATTATTCAACAGATTATCCAGGAGGCTGGGCTCTATAAGAATTGTGACGTTAGGATTGGTGGAAGATCTATCAATTATCTGTGTTATGCAGATGACACAACCCTGTTTGCTGAAACTGAGGAGGACCTGAAGCACTTGCTGCAGAAGGTCAAGGACTGCAGCCTTCAGTATGGATTGAGGCTCAATGTCAAGAAGACAAAGATTCTCACCATTGCACCTATTAGCAGCATCAGGATGGATGGTGAAGAGATTGAGATTGTACATAGCTTTAGTTTGCCTGGCACCACAGTCAACACTCTTGGCAACTAGCAGCCAGGAAATGAAAAGACGTATTGCAATGGGAAAGTCTGTTAGGGACCTCTCCAAAGTACTGAAGAGCAATGGTATCACTCTGAAGACTAAGGTGTGTCTGATACAGGTCACAGTCTTTGCAATCACTTGTTATGCGTCAGAGAGTTGCACAGTAACTAGGAAGGATAGAAGAAGAATTGATGTTATTGAGCTGTGGTGCTAGAGAAGAGTATTGAGTATACCATGGACTGCTAAGAAAATGAACAGGTTTGTCTTGGAGAGTGTTAAACCAGGCTACTCCTTGGAAGCAAGGATTCTGAAGCTTTGTCTGACATACTTTGGACATGTTGCAAGGAGGGACCAGTCCTTGGAGAGGGACATCATGCTTGGGAGGGTAGAGGGACAACGCAGGCGAGGAAGACCCTCTATGAGGTGGATTGATTCAGTAACTGGGTGATTGGGGTGGGTGTGTTGGAGACGGTGCAATTGGGACAGGACAGAGCAGGGTTTAGGGATGTTATACATAGGGTCTCTATGAGTCGCAAGCAACTTAACGGCACATAACAACAACAACAATCCAGGGGGCCCAGGTGGTGCAATTTGTGATACAATCAGTGATGTTTTGTACTAACCCAAAGGTAAATAGTTTGAATCCACTAGCTGTTCCATGGAGAAAGATGGGCAGTCTTATCTTAAGATTTGCATCCTTGGAAAACCTGAGGAGAGTCACTCTGACAGAATCAGCTCCATAGCGGTGGGTTCTGGGAATGTTAAACCAATCTTCTATTCCTGGAATGCATTCAATTTAGTCATTGTTTCTTAATGTTGTTTGTTCTTAGATTTTACATCTATATACTCAAGGAGATTATTCTAAAATCCTTGTATGTATCTTACGCTGCACCAGTAAGTAGATATAATTTTTAAATTGTACAATAAATAGAATTTTATGAAGTTACCATTTTTACCTGTAGTTACCTTAACTTAAAGTTAATTTTGGATTTTTATGTTTGGTAGTATAGTCTCACAGATGTATTTTAGAAAGTTTCTGCATGCTTTATATTTACCTCTGCTCTCCGCGATGGTTCAGGAGAAGGTCCCTGTCTTCACTCTAGTAGTAGGTGAAGGTGATATCTTGATAGGATCTTGTATATAAATTATCCCTTCTTGGCCCACAGGCCACAGGCCCTTGGTCCTAAGATGTGAGCAAGCAAAGAAGCCTGTGGTGATGTCATGAGGCCTCGGAGTAGGGTGCAGGCTGTTCCCTGTCCTAGGAGGGTCTGCCAGTTTGTCTGAAGGTGGCTACCCTCAGTTCCTGTCAGCTGACTTGGGTTTGGAGCATACCTGTGGACAAACAAAGAAGCCAATTTATATTATCCTATAGCCTTTTGTTTAGACATATTTCAGATGTTGGGTGAGGTAAGTCATCAGAAGCATGGTTTTATTGACTTTAATAAATTACAGATGTAGTTGGACCTAAATGCAGTATTTAATTTTGTGCTTTTTAATTGTGGTACATGATATATGTTTCTTCCTCATCCCCTCATTTTAGCCTATGAATCTCTTATAGCCTACTACTCTTTATTATCATACAGCTAAAATTATTTTCTAAATTCTCACTATACTTTCTTCATTGATCCATGGTTTATATATTAATGGGTTTTTTATTTTCTGAAGTATTATTTCCTAGTTAAATTTTTAATATGAATTCCTTATCTTGTAGTTAGAAAACATGTGAAAAGATTATATATTGAGCAGGTGTTATGAAAAGGGTTCTTAATGTTCACTAGGTAAGTTTGTTGTTCGTAATGTTCAAATATTCCCTATCTTTACTTATTTTTAGCTTGTTTGTTCTATCAATTCTCCAGAAAGTCTGTTTTAAAATTGTCCTGGTATATCCTTAATTTGGAATTTTTTCATGTCCGTTTTCAAGTGGTTTATCTAGTTTTGGGTCTGGTTTGAAGAGGATGACATTGAATGAATTCTAAGCCAGACTGAAATTGAGCTGCCTGGGTTTTGGTTTTGATTTTTGGTTTGTTTTTTTTTTTTCCTTTTCAAATTTTGTTGATGGAATTAACTTAGGTCATATTTTATGGGCCAGAATGAATGAAAAAGTACATGGAAATTTTTTGGTGAGGCTCCTATCAGGCCTGCCTATCCAACAGTTTATGTTGCATGATTTAAGGTATTTTTCCACTTCCATTGATGTGCTTTTTAGCAGTCTGACTCCTGATAAGCAAAGGAAAATGGAGTTCTTGCTAGAGTCTGGTAATAAAGTGGTTTCTCCATAATCCTGGTTACCATACCAGTTCAGCCAAGTGCCTTCAGAAGTTGGTTACCCTGGTGATGCAGTGGCTAAGTGCATCAGCCACTAACCAAAAAGTTGACAGTTCATGCTCGCACAGAAGCTCCACAGACTCAAGAACAGGGAACAACAATAATGATTGGAGTTAGAGACGTGGGTGAAACAAATGGTTAACAGGCTTGACTATGCACTGAGAAGTTGGAAGTTTGAGTCCACCAAGAGATGTCTTGAAACTTGAAAGACCTAGGGATATGCTATAATTAACTATTAAAAATCCTGTGGAGCCCAGTACCCCGCTAGGGTTGCCATTTAGGATTCCACTCGATAGCAAATGCTTTGAGGACAATTCCTGAGGTCAGCTCAAGTCAACAACTTTACTAGACAAGGAAAAAGAGCACTGCCAGAAAGTCATTCTGTTGAATCCAGGGATTTTTTTCATTTAGTTATTATTCTCTTTAAAGTTTCTTTCTCTTTTCAGCTATTTGAAGGACTGAAAGCATATCGAGGAGTAGATAATAAAATTCGACTGTTTCGACCACATCTCAATATGGACAGAATGTATCGATCTTCTCTGAGGACAACTTTACCAGTATGTAAATTCTGTCATTTTTTCTGTGTTTCAGAAATGTAGTGGGTCACTATGAGTTTATCAAATAACTTCTGAAATCTTAGCGTAACATTTTGTGCAAAGCATATATGGACATTAGAGTTTTGTCTGCTCTACTTCATAAGTAAAAAGGTGGAAATATGAAGAGTAAATAATATTTAGCAATTCCACAAGATTTTTTTTAATTGAAGAGCACTCTGGGAGATTAGTATGTGTGTGAGAGATAGCAAAATAAGAGAAAGACTATCTTAAAAAAATCTTATTATGACCATGTGGAATTGTAATATTGAAAACAGGGTTCTGTGTACAGCATAGACATTTTGAGTTATATCTAATTTGGCAATAGCAAATATATAGTGATCTAACTAATTTTTTTTTTTATTTTTGTCCAGAGTTTTCTAAAATCCCATATTAAAGTGGTTCTTTGTGGCCTTTGGACCCTGGTTATATAGCATATTCATTATCAAGTGGGTTAGATTTAGGGTCTTTGGTTTATGTTTAAGAAGGATATTATCGGCTTCCAGCCACTGAGATATAACCTAGACTGCATTTCTAAACTGAAGATGTTTCAGTCCTCTGCATATTTAGCCTTCAGGAATTTAGCTGAAGCTCAGTGTTGTGAAAACATGAGGACAACTAGAACTAAGAAAATGCTCCTTTTTAGCCATTCTTTTCCTTTTTATGAGAGCCCTCGTGGCATAATTTGTTATACGTTAGGCAGTTTGAATTCTATCAGCAGGTCTGAGGGAGAACGGGGCACAGTGGTTTGCAGTCTTAGAAACCTGAGGGAGAGTCACCACTAGTTGGAAGCATCTTGATGGTGGTGGGTTAGATTTGATTTCGGTGTTTTCTTCTCTAAATTTGTATTTATTACCCAAGCTGTTGCTTCTTCCTTCAGATATTGTAACATAGTATTAGAAGGAAAATTCTCGGGGGGAAAGGGCTGGGCAGGTAGAGAAGTGCAGCAATACATGAATGGAAATCCAAATTCTCATTAAAATTATAAAAAAAAAAAAGAAGGGAAATTCTTTGTAATTAGGTAAGGGAGCCCTGGTGACCTGGTGGGTAAAGGGTTGCATCACCAACCCAAAGGCCGGTGATTCAGATCCACCACTTGCATTATGGGATAAAGATGGGCAATCTTCTGTGTGATTCATAGCCTCTGAATACTCACTGGAGGATCAGCTAAGCGCATGACAAAAACAACTACTTCAAACAGATTCCTGTCCAAAACCTTTAGAATACTATGAGAGAAAAAAGGGAAGAAATACCTTTTACATGAGCTCTACTGTGATGTTAGGTGGTTTCACATTCCTTAGCAGTAAGATAGTGTCAAAAATTGTTACAGCATTTCTGGACTGAGAAGAGAATATAAGTCCAGAGCTTGAAAGACTGGCCTGAAATGATTGGACTAGAAATGAGATCTAAGGATTTTTTATTCCTATCCTATCCTATCCTATTCTAGATAGCAGTACCAGAGACCTAGAAAACTGATGAAGGGTGGTATAGTGTTAGCCTAAAAGTTGGCATTTTTTAGCCATTAGTTAGTTCCCTCTGGTATCCAGCCACGTTGAGTAAAGACACATGGCCTTGAAAATCATCAATAGCTGTTGGGACTAGGATAATAGAGTGCTTCCAACACTAGGTAGCAATACTTGTGGTGGCAAGATTTGAGGGAGACCTTGGTGGTGAGTTCCTGGTGATGGTGGTGGAGAGACCATGGCATCACTGTGCACAAATGGTGGCAAGGTGTGACGTGAGACTTCATGCATTTGTGCTGGCCACAGTTAAAGGATTGGTTGTTCTTGCTAGATGTTTGAACTACTCTGAGGTAAACTTTGCTGAATGATTTGATTATAAATACACTAAGGCAAACCTTGGTGAATAATTTGGATTTGACTGCTGAACTTAAACCAGAGCCTGGACTTACTGAGGAATTGTCCCTTGGAACTGTTGGGCTCAGGCCTGGACTTGTGCTGTGAGCTATTCTTTGCCCCCCTCACTTCCCTCCCTAATAAACCCCATTGTTGGTACAATAACTGGCTCTGTGAGTTGGTAAGACATAAACAAATCGCTTGCTGTTGGTGTAGCTCTAGAGGCATTATGAGGCTGGGCTATGAAGGCTTTATCTGCTTTCTACTCTGGGGCAGTGAGGAACTATGCTGTTCTTACTCCCTCTGGCCCTTTCAGAGAGATGGTAAAGGCCTCACGCCTCCATGTCCCATTTTGTCCTCTTTAGACAAGTGCATGTATGGCTTTTATGCTTGACAATCACAATATCGTTGTCCATCTCTCGGATTCATAGCAGGTGATTGGGAAAACCATTGTTTGGATCAGGTGCAACTTAGTCTTTACCTGACATCATTGCTTTTCAGGATTTTAGAGAGGTCTCTGGTTTTCTCAATGCTATTTCTTACAAGTTTCTTATTTCCTTGTCCTTGTGTGTATTTTATTTAAATTGCAAACATTTATGTAGAACAATATTCACCCCAATTCTTTATTTTTACTATGTTTTAGTCAGTGAAGCCACAGATTCTCCATCCTTAGATTCAACTAACCACAAATTCTAAGTCTTCTGAGGGGACTAGGAAGGGAGCTATTAAGTGTTCAAATCAAAAGGGTGAGAGGGAGCATAAAGTCGAGGTGATTTTAAAGTATACATCCAGGAGGATGCACATAGATTGTATGCAAGACCACACCATATTGTCTAAGGGACTTGAGCAGATTTGGATTTTTCACCTGTGTAGATTATTCTAGAATGAATCTCTTGTTCATAGAGAGGAACAAATGTATGTCAGTCATTTTTGTGAAGTCATTACCAGTACCTGCTGTAGATTTCCCATCATAAAAAAAAAAACCAACAGAAATTCAGTGTTTCTTATATCATGACTTATTCTTCCCTCTCCCATCCATGGTAACTACTATTAAACTTTGATCTCTATATATTGCCTATTTTTGGTATTTCTTATGTGAGAGGATATAATATTTGTTCTTTCGTGGTTGACTTACTTCATTAAACATGTTTTTCAAGATTCATTCACAATAGATCATTTATGACTATGGCTTTCTTTTTGAAGTCATGAATAATATTTTAGTGTCTATTGACTGCATTTTGTTTATCAGTTCATCTGTTTATAAAAATTTAAATTGCTTTGCCCTTTAGGTTATTGTGAATAATGCTACATGTAGCAAACAATGGGCATGTGCTTATTTGTATTGCTTTGTCCTTATATTTTTTTAAATAAAAATGATCGTAGAAAAAAAATTATATTTGGTTTTTACTAGCATTCTCTTTTTTTTTAAAAAAAAGTAAAACTTTAAAAAAGAAAACTTATTACCTATGGGAGATAATTTCATCATTCTGTTTTCTGGTTTTTTTTCAGGTTTTTGACAAAGAAGAGCTTTTAAAATGTATCCTACAACTTGTGAAATTGGATCAGGAATGGGTCCCGTATTCAACATCTGCTAGTCTATATATTCGTCCTACGTTCATTGGGACTGAGGTACAAACTAACTTCCCTGTTCTGGCCTACTTTTGGAAGCAAATTTTTGTTTATTCCTATGTGAAATTTCTGACTCTGTTCTGCTGATAGTAAATATTTTCGATTCTGGTTGCCTTATGTTTTTTGTTTCAACTAATCAACACTACCATTACAATACAAAAGTAACGATAGTGTGTACAATCAAGAACTCACTGTTAATGAATTGATTCTGGCTCATGACAACACTATATTGGGTGCTGAAGCTGCAGATCCTTACAGGAAGAGATTACTCATCTTCTCGAAACAATAAGTGGATTTGAACTACTGATCTTTAGCTGTCCAACACATAATGCACTGTGCTACCAGGACTTCTTTCAGATTAGTCATAAATGAGTAATTAAATGAGCAAGGCCATTTGCACTTCCTTAGTCAAGATTAGCCATTGTTTTCTAAGCATGTATAGTGTCTTGCTTCAATTCTTGGTCAAGCTTCTTCATGGTAGAAATGGTAGCAGTTAGAGAGAGAGTGGTGATCAAAACATTGAAGACAGAAGTTTAAAATGAGTTAGGCAAGGAACTGGATGATCTACCATAGGCGATTTAAAAAGTATGGCCTAAACATCTCCAGCGTTGTTTGTTGTATGCAGTCAAATTGTAACTGACCTATGGCTGGCCTTCCTATGGGACTTCTGAGGCACTTTATTGCTCATGATTTATTCATTGGGTGACTTTACAAAAGATAACAAACTTAGAAGTGCCTAGAGAAGCTAAGCTTATTTGAGTGGGTGAGTATAATATATGAAGACCTTGGCACTCCTTTCTCCACCTAGACAGCTGTGATCTTACCAAAAGTGGCTGATATTGAGGAACTGTGAGTGAGTGGAAACAGTTGGTGAGTAGGTGGCAGGTGAAAGGGGTAAGGGAAGTATGGAGATCTTGAGGAGTAGGGAGTGAGAGACAGAGCTCCTCTGCAGTACGCTAGATTTTCTGTTCTCTTTATGTATGAATATAATGTTCTCTATGAGGTTGTATGCAAAAAAGCAAGAAAGTAGAAGTACAAGTATAAATATATTATAAGTGGTCCTTTCAGCAGCCCTGGTGGTGTAGTGTGTTATGTGCTGGATTACTAACTAAAAGGTTGTTGTTGTAGTTAAGTGCCATTGAGTTGCAGGCAACTCATAGCGACCCTATGAAGGAGAGTCCTCGACGCTTGGGTGCCTTTCATCCTCTCTCCAGACTCATAGGGTTTCCGGAGGCAAGCTATTATGGAAGTGGATGCCACTCCTCCTTCCACGCTTGTTTAATCAGGGAGCTCCATGCCACTCTCAGTCCGCACTGGGTAGCCAACCATTAACGCATTTGACACATCCGTGTCACAGTGTTCAGCCTCACAGCAACCACAAGTGACTGCGGGACGGCAAGTTGTACACCAGGGCTTTACAACCTAGAGGAATGTCTGAAGAAAAGCAATGAAAGACTGGCCCAAGGGCCGCAGGCTCGAGGGCCCTTTTGGGCTTGAAGCCGCTGCTGCCTTCAACCCAAGGCCAAGCGTGGCTTCTCTGGCTCCTGGAGGCAGAGTCGCCTTTCTCCAGAGACCGCCACAACACAGCACAACACAACACAACTAAAAGGTTAGTAGTTCAAATCCACCAGTTCCTCCAGAAGAGAAAGAGAAGGTAGCTTCATCCTATAAAGGTTCATAGCCTTGGAAATCCAAAATCCATTGGAGGTTCACTGTGAATTGGAATCACCTTAACAAAAGAGCACTTGGTTAATTGATCCGCAGGTACTTTCTAAAAGACTATTAAGAATCTTAAGTAATGAATTTTATAAACTCTAGTGTCCCTAACTTGGAAGGGGGAGTGGCATCCACTTCCGTAATAGCTTCCCTCCGGAAACCCTATGAACCTGGAGAGAGGATGAAAGGCACCCAAGCGTCGAGGACTCTCCTTCATAGGGTCGCTATGAGTCACAGGCAACTCGAGGGCACTTAACAACAATACAACAAAGTGTCCCTAATGAATTTGAAAGAATTGCAATTGTTCAAAAAGTAACCTATATTATTGAGATGCTGAGATTTTTAATTTTATTATTTCACATTCTTACGGAAAAGCTGGTTTTCAAATTCATTTAAACACTCCTTACTCCCAGTGGTCCTGAAGTATTTTCTCATTTAAGATAATGTCTTTCCTGAGAGTTTTTGTCATGAATGGATCTTGGACTTCATCAAATGCTTTCTTCCTGTGTTTTAGAAATCTAGGGTTAGCTGAGATCTTACCTATAATTTTTTTAAGTCGAGCCCTTAACCACAACAATTCTCCCACTTGGTGGTTCTTCATTTTTCGCTGCTTGTTTTCTCACAGTTGTTTGAAGCTAAAAGTTCAGATCAGTGCCTTCGCCTTGTTGATTCCTTCTGGGTGCTTCTCTCCTGCCTGCAATCCTTTGCTTGTAGATATATCCTGTTTACCCTACTTTGTGTGCATCTGTTCACACCTGTGGGTGTGTTGTTTTTTATAAGATAGCACTTAAAAGGTTTAAGTTTAAGACCCAACCTATTTTGCTATGAACTCACTAAACATAACAGAAGTAAATAGTTATTTCAAATAAGGCCATATTTATAGATTAAAAGGTTATAATTTCTACTCTTCTATTTTGGAGGACACAGTTCAATCTGTAACACCTGGTAATTTTGAAGCACACTCAAGAACTTCAATGTCAAAACCCAAGCCACATAATTCTCTTCAATTGACATTCTTGATCTGGCTTCAAACCTCAAAATCAATTAATTTTAAAAAACTGTTTTCTCAGTAATGAATTTTAAGTATGATAAAGATGGAAGGACATAACTGTTTCCATTTGGTGAGGAAGTAATATTTATGGCCTGAGGTAAGAAACTGCACAGCTGACACAAAGGCAAATGGTTCAGATCTACCATCTGCTCCATGGGGGGCAAAGATGGATAGTCTCCTCCTCTGTGACTTGCAGCCTCTGAAAACTCAGTGGAGGATTTGGGTCCAACTCAACAGTTCATATGAACAAAAACAACATTATAACCACTGGGCCAATAGACAACATTAA